CTGTAGGAAGAAAAGCATCATTGGACAATACGTAAACAAGTCTGGACTGAAGGTGAATCTTTCATCATAGCTTTGGAAGTAAAGCATTGGCAAGAAACTAAAGAAAAACTCTACAGACACTAAATGTCCAAACTATAGACTCTCACACATGCTTAGGAAAAATATAATTTTAAGTTTGTTTATTAATGCTACTTCATTTTACTACTTCATCATTTATTCTTGCTACATGTAGCCTCATTACAGCATATGGGTTTCTCATGTGAAATTCCAACACAGGCTTGATTCAAAGCAGAATACACTCAGCCCTTGAAGTTCTGCTCATATGCAGCTCTTCAAGTCAAATCATGTAAAACCTTCAGCCTTTTGATGACTTGCACCTGTCTTACGGTATTTTTGAAGAATCTCTGGTTAATCAGAACTTGCTTTTTCCTCCCATATAAAAATTCTTCTCTACCGTAGTTTGACTTCAAGTTTGCCAAAAGCACATTAACAGCAAGGATGGCATAAAAAAAAAATCTAAGCCAATCAATGAGCAGACAACTGTAATATAGCCAAATAAAATGTACTCATCCGAATCAGTCAGATCATGTTTTCTCCAAACTAGTAAACAGCTGCAGACACAGTCTGCTTCCCATCAAATGTTCCATGTATAACTAACTATACCTTGTATCTCTGATGGTTCACTAGTAATTTTTCAAAAGCATGACTTTCAAAACATATGACAACTATATTTTATTGAAGAAAGGAATAGGCTTAGACTGCCCAAGCCACAAATTGAAGACCAATCCAGAAACTCTATTGCAGGTGCCAAAAGCCTGCTGAATGTCAGTATTTGCTGGCATTTTTATTGTTATGAATACAAGTGCAGACCAACTTCTTCAAAGAAGAAACGCACTTCAAGCGTAACAGAAAAGGAAAAGCTCACAACTCCTATTATATCAGCACAGGAGCAGAGAAAATAACTCCTTTAACACTGTCTGGAAAAGGTATCCCAAAGGAGAAGTGCAAACATGTTTAAAAGATGGAGAACCTTAAAAATAAATTAGCATCTTACATTCTGGTCTGTGGTATCAACAGTGCTAAAATAACTAGCAACTTTGAAAATCTAGTAAAATTTTGACTGTCACAAAAGCATGAAAACTACCCTTAGTGAGACTGTTGAAGTACAAAACTTCTACCCACTATAATTTTTTGTGACTTATTTTCAATTCATTCACAAGAAAAAATCCTTGCACGCTGAAGAAGACAGAGAGGAAGCCAGCCAGACTGAGACACATTTTCAAATCTCTGAACAGCAGTAAACTATTATGAGCTTAAATCAGATATTTACTATTTTTGCTAGACTACGTAAATAAATTCCTAGCTCTCTAAAAATTTATCTGACTCCTGAACATACTTCAGAGAGCTGATTTTGCACTAATGTGACTGTTAGAAACTCAAAGTAAGCACATTGTTACTCTGAGTCAGAGAAATTAACAGGACAATAAATCAGAAATAAACAAACAGGAGTCAATGACCCAGACCACAGTGTCTCCACAGATGACAATGGAGAGAGGTCTGGTAAAAAATGGGATATTAACACCTAAAATTCTTATCCTGTCCTAAAACTCTTATCCGTGGTTGCAGCCTGAGTTCCCTGTGCACACGACTCCAAAAGAGCTCCCCTGCTGTTATTGTGATGCCCTGTGGAAGAACAGTTATGATAATTGGAATTAATGTCACTTTTAGAAGCATTAATTGTAGTTATGATATCCACATGGCTATCCCCTGAATAAAACACAGAAAACACTAAAAAAGCTGTATTAAATTTCTTTTCTGCATCTGGTTACTTATGTTGAGAATTGCAAAGAGCCAGCTCATTTCATCCATTTGAGAATTCTTGAAATTTACCTGATAGCATTTCAACATCAGCAGATGCCTCTTCTAGGATCCCAAATGTGCATCACTTAAAAGAGAAAATAATCTGGCCATAAATTACCAAACATTTACTTTCACTTTGAAAGTGAAGTTGAGAATGTTAACTTTGAGGACAATGACAAACCATCTTTTTCATTCCCGGAGACTGCTGTCACACTCTTGTCAGATAATGAATGAATTCTTGAATATATCACAAATCCAAGTTCTAGAAAATTTCTGGCTGTATGCTCTGCAAAATGGCTTACTGCACTGTGACAGAGCAGATAAGTTAAATGGTTAGAGCTCTGATTTCCAGTATTTGGCCCCTGTGTGCAACTGATTCATTAGAATCAGAAAACTTGGTGAAACTCTGAGGTTAATCAAACAAAGAGCTCTGCTGCATTTTCTTTTTTCAATAGAATTCATATATTAAGGAATATATGCTACACTTGATGCATGACTTCAGGAAAGATTAACTGCAAATAACTACCAAACAGCTGTATGGCCTGTTTTCCAGTATGTATGGAAAGACAGACAGTCCATAATGTAATGTCTTGAATTTCAGTACTAACTTCCTGCTGATTTTACATCAGCTTGTGGTACAGGTGCAAAGGACTTAGGTTACTGGCAAGCATGAGGGAAATTAATCTAGAAACCAGAAGAGCAGCTTCTCGCATTCCATAAACAGTTTGTAAAATTAATTTCAACAGCATACATACCGCCGCCGGATGTGTAACCAGCTATGCTATCATTGACCAATACAATCGGAATACATGGAAAAAGCCAAAGGCTTCCCTCCAAAGGTAACTGATACAGACAGATCACATAACCAATAACTGGGAATTGGTCCATCCACGTTATTTCTGGAAACTTATGGGTCTCACGTAAGAACCAAAAATGTCTCTTTTCATGAAGAAAATAGTAGAGGGAAAACGTCAGTCTCGCAAGAAACTTCATTTGAAGCGAACACAAGTTATCTTTTAGCTACTACTGCAAAAGATGCAATTTACAGTAGAGAAATCACTAATGTTTCTTAAAGCCATGAACATACATACAGGCTATATTTTAGCCCTACACCTCTGGTGTTACAACTTGCTGAAGAGATCCCAATTGGCTCATTAAAAGAAAGATCAGATAGTAGAATAATTCATTTCAGTAAAAAAATCTTTCTCGAGCCAAGAGGGAAAAACAAAGCCACGCTTTTTGCACCTAATCTCAACAGAGCCACAGCCTAATTAGCTGAGGTAACTGTCACAAACTAAGTAACTTCTCTCAGCTTGTCAAAAATATGAAGTTGCATACAGTAGCAAACTATCTAAAAAGGTCTCAAAAATCCTTCTGGATGCCACAAAACACATGCTAGTATAGAGGGGCATAATGGATGAGCATATAGACCACAACTGTTATTGGAGAAAGTTTTATTTATAGAATTATGATAGAGAGACAGAAATTTTTTTCCCCCTCAGAAAAGGACATCTGGCTCCTTGCAATTCTAGGGCTGCAGGATTAAATCACAACAGAAGCTGCCAGGGAATCTCCATTAAGCACACTGTATCGAGCAATTCAACGCAAATTAAAATAGCTACGTGCACGCTTTTACAAAGGCAGTCAGGAGGCAGCAGACAGCGTGGGCTGCTTTTCAGCTGACACCAAGATACACACGTTCAAAGAACAGTGTGAGAACTGAACAAAAAAGGAAAGAAAAGAGCTTCTGATGCTTTAACTATTTCTGGAACTTTGCACAATGGGAACCTGATGCAAAACCGTGTGATGGGCCGAAATACATCTCACACATGAAAAGCCCTTTACACCTAAGTATCTCTCTATCCTAAGGAAAAATGGAAGCCATATTTGCCTAAGATTCCTGAAGTTGTAGTCCTCTGCAACACACCCTGTCATACAAGCTTAAGTTCACAAGAAGCTCACACACAGGCACAGGGCATTTTGCACTTAGGTTTATCTCTGCTAGACAACGTAGTTGGCATCCTGTTTAGGGGCTGCAAGGCTCAAAAAGCTACAGATCCAATATTACTCCCTTTATACAAATCTAATTTGGGGTGAGTCACAGGAAGTCTATCTGGATAGCACCTTATCAAACACAGCCCACCCGACATGCCCAACGTTAACTTCAGTTAACCAGGAAGACGCACAAATTTGTCGATTATTTTACCAAGTAATTATCATGCTTACATGAATATCAAGAGAAGTTAAATCCAACGCTTGCTGTAAACTTCTCAGAAACTAGAATTAAGAGACTTTGGATTTCTCTAAATGAGTTTTATATTTATGTATTTGTGTATTCTGGAAATAACCAGTTAGCCTACAATGCCTTGCTATCCAAACGGAAATAATGTTTCTCTTCTTCCACTCTTCACATTTTGTGTGTTACATATTCTTTAGGACAAGAGACCATCTCTTTGCTCCAAAGGTAATAGTGATAGACTTAAAAATCACATTTAACACTTGTAGCAACAAGCCTGATGCAGATTTTGTTTGCTTGCTGCTTTAAAGATACAGTTCAGCTATTTTCACATCCTACTATGAAAACAAATATTCTTGACATCCAGCCTTTGGACTTGGTTTTGACCAAAGCCTTGCTGAAGTGACTATATTAAATCAAATTCAAATCACTTATTAGCACCCTGGCATATATATCTGACATCCTGACCACTTTCCAGTAATAAATTGATACATTTCTGCATATGAAAAACACACACCAAATTCTGTCCTTTCTAGTGAAAGTTGTACTTCATCATCTGGCAGACATACAACCTTCAAATTCATTCTTAGGAAGACACATATCCTGTTATAGGTATGATTTTATTTTTAAAAAGAAAACCCCAAACTTCTATTACAAGACAGACAGCATTTTATGAGTTATAAAGTGTTTCAGTTGTAAGTGAGTTCCCCATAACTCTTCTAACTTTTAGAATCATAAGCCTCTTTCAGGCATGTGTTTATCTGATAAGCAATGACTTTAGGTTGAACTTTAACAAAGTACAATTTATATAAACCAGTAAAAGTTAAAAAAAAGGTCTGGGACTTTACCACAGATGATATGTGAAATTATAGTGAGTGGATTTGAGTTTAGCTTGACATCATACCTGACTGGCTTTCCTTCTCGTAGCAAATCTTCCAGACTCTTTTCACAGTGTTCAGCTGCCACAACCAGTCTCTCTAAATGAGGAAAAAAAAAAAAAATCCCAAACCACAACAGTATAAGAGGACTGGAATCCAAATGAGACAATGGGAGTACAAACTTCTCAGTCTACCTATTTGTCAGATGTTCAAGTATTTTGGCACATACTGTATGGAAAATTACACATAATTAAATGTTAAAGACGTACAACCTCTGGATATCACCACCATTTTCATTTATGAAATACAGCAGATTATCTTTTCTGTTTCCTCATGCAAAGCACTGTCAATCCATCCATTCAGTAACCTCCTAATAAATGTTGAACCTCTCAGCCAATGTCAGTCAGATTTGACTTAAGAAGAGAGGTCTCGAAGATAAGCATCCACAGATTTCTAGAAATTTGAGGCTGGGTTGATGAGAGAGACACTCAAAGTTAACAGCAGCTTTGAGAAAAGGGACTCAGACTGAGCACAGGAGTTTCATTCCTGATGGGCTAACTAGCACATTACTAACTCTAGTACCTCTTGCCCAACAAATAGCTGTAGGACTTGCAGGAGTCCCATATGTTCCGAAGATTGATGGGCTGGCTCTGAACACAGAGGCAAAACAAAACAACTGCTGCACTGAAGACAGCAGTTATAAAGTAGAAGACCACCACAGTGTAAGATGTTACATGGGGATGCGAGATAACTCCTAAAGAAGCTAGGTGTTGCTACTTCCACTACTTGTAGAACAGCTACTAGTGAATGTTCAGATTCAAAACCAAATCAAAACACCTTGAGGAACATGAATCATCACATTAAAGCTGGAATGCTTGTTACTCAACTCTTTTATTTCTAGTCTTTGAAGTCAAACAACCATTTAAGCTTTCTTTGGAAGAAAAAATTCTGTGCTTGCCTTCTACAATGCTAGCAAAGATTTACAAGTAGTTTAATTTTACAGAAAAGAGACAGATTTCAGTTTGAATGTTTTTCTATTACTTTTATATTCCCCTTTTGAGGGTCTTCAGGGGGAATGCATACATCTAATTTTTTTTTTTTAAATGTTTTCCTAGTCTACTTTCATATTTCTCCATAGGGGCAGAAACTGATATTTGCAAGAAAAATAACATTAAATCACTATGCCTAGATTGACAAGTGAAAAATTCTGTCATTATCAGAACGATAAAACTTGTCACCAAATTTGCCATACTATTTGGAAGTGATTATGCTATTGCAACCACCAGGAACAGAACAGTCTCCTGACGCCATGGTTAGACATTTTATTTGCCAATCTTCAAGTTACTTCAATTATCAGAAGATATTTTCGTCTTCATATTTATACATACTCATAAACCTTCATGTAATTGACTCTTCATTGTCAAAAAGGCCACATTTTCATATTTAATCATATCTCTTATTTACTAGATGCTATGTTAGCTAATGTTTCTTAACCCTTCATCCCAAACGGTATTGCAAGAAAACTCCAGTTTCCATTTCAAGAGATACTAGCAAAACCAAGATGAAAATGAATAAACTTTCTAGGTCTGACCGCAGAAAATGAAAAATTTACAAGTATAAAAATATAACGAACCCTCTGCCCTGTGGAATACTTTAATGTTTGGAGTTGGCAACATCCTAATTTTCTGAAGATCTGAAACACCCTAACATATTTCATTCTAAAGGGGAAAAAACGACTTGCTCTACTTTATGAGACTCTGTAGCTAATCAAACAAATACACACAATGCACTTTTATATGGGAACATTGTCGATTTAAAAGTTAAAGGTGGCAATCACTTAAACTGTCACAGGTCTTGCACCCTTTTTGTGGAAATTAATTGTCCTACTCCTGCTGAGCTTGCAACAGAATAAGATCATCTGGAGCGGAAAAAAAACCTACTGAAGCCTTATCTGACCTAATAACAAGGGTGATAAAGGTTACTAAAAAAAGTTATCCATACTAGAATAAAGTAATTGTTAGTGGAAGAGATCTTAAAGAGCTAGAATAAAAAAAAACAAACACACACTAAAATAAGGGAAGCTTGCAGCCAAGACAAGAGTCGACTGAGACAAAAAGAACAGCTGCAAGTCAAGTACAAGAAACCTAACCCTCATGTGAAAACGTTCACAAGATTAGAACATGGGTGTAGGAGCTCAGCGTCAAAAATACATGTACTTCAATGTCCCACAAAGACATGGCACAGCAATCGAGGACAAGAATTTTACAGCCAGAAGAAAACTTACTTTAGAAGAAAGTTCTTAGCTTTTATCAGTTAGCACAACATACAACAAAAGAGAATAGATAACTAACCACTGCATCGACTCTGCAGATAAGAAACAAACGCACCAGTACTGCCAGTCACAGCAAAAACAGACAGGCATTTTGAGACTGAAAAACAGCCACTTTCTGGTGTTATAAAAACAGTATTCTGCTCAGTCACCTTTAGATATATTGCCACAAAAATATAACTGCAACCATACATAAAATTTCCTTTTTAAACAGACACTCACCATGTTTACCTCTGGTAATGTCGACATACTGGCAAAGCCTGGGATGAGTGATTGTTTTAAGAATTTGAAATCTCCCCAAAATTTTGATGGAGTTAGGTGTCAAAGGAAGGCCATTACTTCCACAAACATCATGTGGCAGAGCTGAGGCAAAGAAGGTGGAGGCACCCATCTCAGTGTCTTTTAAAGGAAACATCTTTTTTGCACAATGTTAAGCCCTTCGGAGCAATTCGTGTTCCTTAAAAAGAAAACACAGAGTAAAAAATTTATCTGCAAAAGATACAGATTCTTGTGACTCAGATTACTAATTGTTTACTAAATAATGCAATTAAAATGTTCTTTTCCCTGTTATGGGGGAATGGCACAATGTTGCATAATGAACACTGAACAGAGTGCTGCTGCATCATAAACACTACACTTAAAGATGAAAACAGTGATAGTTTTATTTGATTCTTAAATCTATGTTTAAAACTATTTTTAGGAGCAGATAAATGCTTTAAGATAAGCAGCCTTCAGATGACTACTGCAATATAGTAGGTTATTTATTCAAAAAACAGTATAGGCATCAAACCTATGAAAAACCTCAAACCTAGAGAAAAAAAACTCTTCCAAAAATAGCACCTTGTATCAGCAGGCCACACATCCAGATTACCACAGCTCCAGTGATAATCCAGCATCTCTATACTACAGCATTTCTAATATTTAAAGCTATGAAGTAACAGTCTTTCTTTACCCATAGGTAAATTGCTAGCTCACTCACTGACTCAATTAACAAATTAACCTACATCAAACATTTATGTGGGACAGCCAAGCAAAACAAATTAGCTCGCAATTTAGTTCCAGAGCACTTAGTTTCACGACCATTTTTCTCTCCAGCAGGATCGAGCTCCCTCTTCTGCATCACGCATTTCAATTCAGCAAAAGCTACACATTTTCTCTGCACCTTTCCATAACCAACCGTTAGGCCATTTAAGAATAAGAAAATCTAAACCAAGCACAAGTAACCAACACTTCTGCAGTCAGGTAAGCCTCAGACAAAATTGCCTGACCTCTTTTTACTAGCAAACTGAGAACCTAATCTGAGGTGGCAAGTATCCAAATGGAAAAACTGAACAGAGCCTCTGCTCAGCTCACTTCTGGATGACCCAGATGGTGACTGAAGACACCACAAGCTGCCATTAGGCAGTATGATCCCTCTGTATGTGTCGACTTCCACAGCACACGCATGCTTGTGTATCAGAACACGCACGCAAACAGAGATAAGCCCACCAAGCTTATATAGAATGGTTCGGGTTGGAAGGGACCTCAAAGATCATCTAGTTCCAACCCCCCTGCCATGGGCAGGGAAACCCTCCACTACACCGCATTGCTCAAAGCCTCATCCAACCTGGCCTTGAACACTGCCAGGGATGGGGCATCCACAACTTCTCTGGGCAACCTGTTCCACTGCCTCACCACCCTCAGAGTGAAGAATTTTTTCCTTAGATCTAATCTAAATCTGCCCTCTTTCAGTTTAAATCCATTGCCCCTTGTCCTATCACTATACGCCCTTGTAAAAAGCCCCTCTCCAGCTTGATAGATTAGGACAGACTTTTAGTCCCATCTCTCTATTTTATGAACCTGTTCTTTCTTTAGCTGTTTATCAGCGGGTTTCCGTCTCAGCCTGCCCACCCGCTCTGCGACACCAATGTCCCTGTGCACGTAAAGATGGAAGTTTGCTACCACTTGATTTATGCATTGTTCAGGAACCAAATCGAACAAACCAGTTTAACCAGGGCCCTACCA